AAAATGTGTAGTTCAGACCAATTTGTGTTTTTTTTTACTAATGTGTGCTTCTCTTTACCTCCTTTGTAACTTTGTCAAAATATAAATTCTGCAGAACATACCAAGAATTTTTATCCACGATGATTGTCTTTGGTAGGCACTAGACCAAAACTCCATTGCTTTTGTGAAAGAGTCACCTCTTCTTAATGTATCATTATTATTACTACAGTGTTGTTGAGCTTCAAACCAATCCCAAGACGTCAAAAAAGACATACATAATAAATCACCTGCAAATACATTGATACAGATTGAAATTATTATTTATAATAGGTGATTGACATTTTCCCTAGCTATAGTATGAAATGAAGAAATACGATGTCAAAAAATGCTTACTTGAGCTTACATACATTAAAATACATGTACCTATAAGCATACTGTGTACCGGTAGAAATAAAAGACAGAGTTTCAGTAATTGGCTGACACCACGAAGCTTAAGGATAACATTTTCCAAGGAGCTAGGCTATCAGAGGTATAAGCTAACCAGCTAAATTTTGTAAAAGCATATTTACATAGGATTTTCTTGTGTTTTAACAATAAAAGACAACATAAGGAACAATATTTATCTTACTGATAAATCTAAATCATTATGGCATATGTACTTTCTTGGGTTTCCTTGCATGCTATTGTCTACTCCATGCGATTCACAAAATGCACTCCCCATGTGACCGTCTGATTTTATACACCACTCGATCAGTCAGTTTGTCTTCAGTGAAAGACGTGATATAATATTAATCAGTCCGTCTCTAGTAAATTCTTGGAAGGTTCTACTTAAAGGCAATGGTTACTTCCCGGAAATCAAAAAAAGCAAACTATGGATTTTTTTAAAATTGGATCTCGAACTTTAGAATATTTATTAATTTAAAAAAAATAATAATGATGAAGTATCGCCCATGAACAAGTACTACATGTTTTACGCAATTGCTTTTTGTTTTATAGATTCGTAATATGCAGGGGCCTTAATCTCTACATTTATTCTTTTAACACACAAATATTTGATATAGTTTTCAATATGTTTTAACATGCTGTTATAAGCATTTATCATTCTTATTCACTGTCTTTCGACATTTTTAATTACCAATACACTTGAAAACAATTCAGATAACTTCTAACAGATCCATCCACCAGCTATCTTAAACAATCATATTAATCTGTCTTCATTTCTTACTCCAAAATATTAAATCAATTTAATTAAGAATATTAAATTGATTTTTATGTCATACTAACCCTTAAACGTTATCCAAATGCAGGTACATTTTCCTTGTAAACCACTAATTTATTTATTGAAGCAATTGCCACATGTGTTTTAATCGAACATGTGTTTATCTAGTGTATAGGAAGGGTGTTGGTTTGATTGGTTAACGTATTTTAAGAATGCCTGTTATACAGGTATTTTGTTAAAGCAAGCACGTTTTAGCGTATGTAAAAGTTAAATGCTATTCGAAGGCTCTTTCTCACTAGTGCAGTCAGACGTTTCCACGCAAACCCACCCTTCCTTACAAGTATCATCTTTGTTTTTAATAATTATATGCTTTTCTTTTGTAGATTATACCAGTTGTTAGGAGGGAAAGTTGGAAATGTATATTCTGTTTATAGTAATAAACTGCACTTACGAGAGCTCTTATGTCACTACCCATATACGTTTGCTATTAATTTTATAAATTATTTGTGTTCGTTGAGTGGAAACGAGAAAATATATAATTCCTGTTTGAGACGCAATTTATCTTTACCTTAAAGTCAACCGATAAATTTCTTTGATTTTCATGAGTAACACATATTTTAAGATATATAAAATCATGGTGTTTTGAAAAAGATCCTCAATTAATATTGTTATGACATTTTTCGCCCCAAGTCCCTTGCCCTCCAACAAAAATAGACATAAACAGTGTATTACTTTTATCATACTTTTATGTTCTTCGGATATTAGTTACTTATTTAGGCAAGCTTTCTGATATTCTTATATATCATCTTGCAAATCACCACTAGAAGACAAGATTTATATATCATAGATATTAACGTGCAAAGGGATCTGAGATTCAAAAAAAAAAATTTATTATTTATTGCCTGACGTCATGGAGTCAGGCTGTATCAGGATTATTATTTGCATTATCCGAACTTATGCGATCACACCTAGAGAGCTAGATTTTGCGCAAGCTGATTTTCATTGGAATTCTTTACCTGCATTGTGGAAACGCATTTTGAAAAAAAATTACGCTTTTTGAAGTTGGTTAAAATTGGGACAAAATCAACGCACTTTGAAAAACGTTTTCAAAGTGCGTTAAATTTGGGACATAGTCAACGCACTTTGAAATGTTTCTTCAAACTGTGTTAAGAGTTTACATCAATATATTTTACCATGGCTTAATGCACTTTGAAAAAAAAATATGTATAAACAAAAAATCTGATTTTAGATTTTAGTAATGGAAAGAATTTATTTCAGTGTTATTTATCTTTCAGTACACTTATGAATTGATTTACTCCCGTCAAGAAGAAGAGAAGACGCTTAGAAGATATCTCAGATTAACTCTTTCTCTTTCAATACGAATGCGTCGGTAACAAATAAAGCGGGGGGGGGGGGGGAGAGAAATAAACTCACAAAAGGGTAAGTCGCATTTTTTCATGCCTATATGATGCATATCTTTCCAAAATAAGTGGGGAGGGGGGAGGGCTAAGCCCCCCTCCCCTTGCCCTTCGCCAGGTTATGATGCCTATGCTATACCCAACAATGGATACTGTAGATTCCTTATTTTTGGCAAGTACTTATTATCGCGAATAAGCTCTTCAGTGTCAAATCGCGAGAATAATAATTTGCAAATTATATTACTGATGCAAAATACTGCAGTGCCACTTATTTTATTCATCTTGCATGGAACAGATTATTAATATTCCATGTGATTCAGCCTTTTAACATGTTCATGTATCCTTTCTTTCTGCATTTCTACACTACTTGATCAGTCCATTTATATTTTACGAAAGAGGTGATGGTTCTTTTCGTGCCAAATTTCAATAGTAAGGTATCTTTACGCCTTTTCCTTGGATTGTTCTATTGTGTGAATGTTGTGCTAACTTTCATAGAATTAAGTAAAGTTTGTCCTTTTAACATCCTTCTAATGCTTCAAATATTATATCTACAAGTTTTATCTCCTTCTTTTAAAAAATATATTGTATATATTAGTGTATAGATATGCAAGAGTAAAGAAATGATTTTCTCGCGATTGGTTTATTCCATTAATGGACTAGTCCAATAATAATAAACCACGCAGCTCAAAACGTCATGGTCTCCAGATGTATGATCTATCATACGTCTCTGCTCAGATGCACAAAATAAATGTGAAACAGTGCAAATTCTTGGATTTGTTCCAAAAAAGGCCTAAATATTGAATTTACTTATTCCATTCTCAATAAATGATAGTGGCATATTTCCCACCCTTTTAAGAAAAGAAAACAAAAAAAAAACCAAATTGAACACACATTACTATTGTTTACTTCTGTGGAGAAAATACACTCCAACATTAAATGTGTATTTATTTATATCCATCTTTTAAAATGTTTCCAATGCATGATTTAATAACAGATCTTATAAAAGATGTACAATTAAGTTGTCATTTTAAAACCAAGGACATATCACTACATATCACCCCCAACCTCCCCCTACCCCACACCCAACTCTTCAGTATGCAGTGTGAATTTGATTCTTCTACAAGTTATATAAAATCAAGGGTTTCATATATACAAGGTTTCTTAAAATAAAAGTAAGGGCATATTTTAAACCCACAAAGGTATTGCTATAATGGATTATCACTTCTGAAGCAGTTATTGATTGATTTAGTCTGTCAAGCTTTTTGAAAAGCTGATACATGTTATATCATATTGACTTATTTAGTCCTAGTATTTTGCATGTCTGATATCTAACATAGTAAAAAAATCACACTTTATGTTTGCATGACTCTGACCTTATAGTGAAAAAAATAAAGATTTTTTTCTCTAAATTGGAGTAAGAATGCATTGATAAAACAATGTTATCACAGATAATTCAATTTATGCCGCTATGAGAAATATATTATATTTTACACCTAAGGATAATTCTGCATATCCCTGCGCAGTCTGCAGGATATGCGCCCTTATCGCAGCGCAATTATCATGGAACCTTTCATTGCAAAATCGCACCTTATTTTGCTTGACCGAGTTATCCAATCAAAATCCTTGATTTTGTTGCGCCATTTTTGTTAGCCTTGCAGTGCATTGAAGAAAAAAACCCACCACCCACCCTTTTTGGGGTTTTTGGTTTTATATTATTTTGCGTTTTTGTCCAGATTTGTATTTTTCTAATTAACTTGTCATATGTTTCTTGATTGGCGCAATTGTTTGAACGCCCCCAAAGATTTACTCATTTATGTTATATTTTATGCATATTTACATGTACTCTGATATGTGCACTGCATGTAAATTTCTAGTCAGTCTCAGCGCAATTGTTTGGACGCCTCCAAGGATTTTCTCATTTATGTTATATTTTATGCATATTTACATGTACTCTGATATGTTCACTGCATGTAAATTTCTAGTCAGTCTCAGGGGGATCACACTTGTACCTTTCACCTGTGTACATGTAACCTGTATTGTTTAATATTAGATGATCCCCCTTAATGATTTGTTATACATTTTACTATATGTCATTGAATAAAATGACATATTCGACAAAACTGCACATCTGTGTTTGGTTGTTTTTCACTGCACTTTCAGGCTGATATTTCTCATAGGAGGCATAAAAACAGTTATGATTTTTTTTCCCAACGAACCACCTTTTATTCATTTAAGAAGAAATTCAGGGATGTGGTATTGAACGAGAAAACGTCTTCACCGTTTTATTTTATATTTTTTGTTTGATGATTTATTTGTACAAACCAGGTCACGTGACTCTTGTGTATGGACGTACATTTTTGTGTGCTCCGGGTTTTGTGAAAAATGTATCTTAAACAGTGTAAAATTGTTTTAAATCTTGGTTTGACTGAGTATAATGACTGGGACTAGGAAAAACAAACAGAAGTAGCGGAAAAAGTACAAAAGTAGCAGTAGTATAAGTGGTAGTGAAACTAGCCCCGATTCAATACATTTTAAAGGTGAGGACAGTTTGAATAGTATTCATCAGAACATCGAAGGTGATGTTACGGTGAGTGATTTACTGTGTCAAACAAATTCTATTCTATACGCGCCAAGTGAAGAATGTAGTGTATTTGAGGACACATCTAACTCCTGTGTAAAGCCTATGGAAAATATAAACATGGCAACAAATCTAACAAACCCTGACTCTGTCTCTTGAAAACTTGACACATTATTATCGGTAGTCCACGATCTAAAAAATAATCAAGAAAGCATGAGGCGTATGTTCGAGCCGAAATTAGATAAACTGAAAACTGACTTGACAGAAAATGTAGAAAAAAAGATACGGACACTGAAGGATGAAATAACCCTAGATATCGCAAGCGAAACAAATCGCACAGATCAAATTATCAATTGTATTCAATCCGTTCAATCACGCCTAGTCAATTTAGAGAAACACGTAACAGGCGATAACGGTTCATGTAATCATATTGAACTCGATTGACACTCAGCAAACCCGCTAGATAATAACGACATTACTGTCATGGTATGTGGCATTCCTGTCACAGAGGATGAAGATATTATGCAAAAAGCCCAAAATTTAATTCTAGCTCTTGGAGAATCTGTGTCACAAAATGTTCATATAACAAGTGCAGTCCGGCTGCAAACAAGACTTCCAAATAAACCAGGCCTTGTTAAAATATGTTTTCAGAACAAAGACGAAAAAATCTGTGTGCTCCGAAACAAAATGGAATTCAAAGACATCGAATTATACAATAAAGATTTTATCAAAAGCAGCAAATCTCGTATTGAGCGATTGATTGAAATTAAGGCACGGGTCTTCCTGCGAAATTTGCCGACAGAACAAGAAAGATCACTAAAGGTCGATGCAAGCGGAAGAATCAAACCCCGTCAAACCGCGCAGATTGCCAAACAAACCCACCAACAATAGCAATTAGTTAGGCCCATTAACACTATTAAACAGGGCCTGATAAATATTTGTGGCTGGACTCATGAAAACCGTAAGTTACGAATAAATATTATACAAGCAAAAGACTGTGACATAATGTGCATAACAGAAAAGCAATTAGCAGGACAAAATGAAATTAAAGTTCCAGAGTATAAATAAAGTTCCAGGGTATAAGTGGTTTGGACACAATGGAGTCAATATTCATAAAAACGCTCCAAAGGCTTCTGGGGGAGTTTGGATTCTAGTCAAGACATGGATGCTAGAAATGTACAGCATTACAGTAGTTGATAAGATTTTTGATGGTATTGTTGAGATTAAGATAGTCAATCAGAATACCGTGTTACATGTATCTGCCCCCTGAAAATTCAAGTCGTGGACGAGACGACCAAAGTTTCTTTGCGTATCTCTTGGCACAGATTTACATGAATAGCAAAAACCATGGTATCTTCATAATGGGAGACTTTAATTCACGAATTGGTTCACTTTGTGAACCATTACCGGACATTGATGAGTTGCCGAAACGGATCTCCATAGACAACTGTATCAATCAACATGGGCATGAATTTATAGAGTTCCTTAATGAAGCGAAGTTTTGTGTACTCAATGGCAGGTTTAGTGACAATGACAATTTCACTTCAATTTCCGGAAAGGGGAAAACTGTTGTGGATTTATATATGTATACCACAAGAAATATTTAATTATATTCAAGATTTCAAGGTACGAACCACACAGTCTATCGTAGACGCTCATATGCTACACGGATTAATTGGATCAAAATCCAAACTACCTGATCACTCAGTAGTTGAATGTGAGCTCAATGTAACGCATCACTCCCTTTCACTTAGTTCCGACGATAAAGCGAACTGTCATAAGCATGCTAAGGGATATAGACTTGATCGGATACCGTTAGACTTCATGACGAGTGAATTAAGAAGAGATGTCTTGTCATCAAATTGAACGGAGTAGAGAAACACAAGAAAATATAGACAGAATCTACAATAATTTGTGTTCGGTTATTCAATCAGAGATGGAGGAAAAGATTCCGAAAGTGGCGTATTATGATGCAAATAAGCGATCAAAAACCCGGAAACTTCCAGGAATTCCGCTCTAATGGACCTTTGGAATAACATGCGATTAAAAGAAAAGGATTTTATTCGGTACAGTGTTAGCAGACATATGAAGTCAGCACTAAGGAGTGATTATATTCAGGCAAAAGATGTTTTGATAAAACACTAAGACATGAAGAAGGAATATATAAAAAATCTACTGCGACTGAGATTGAAGTGCTCACAACTACTAATCCGAAGAAATTTTTGGAAAAGATAAAGAAATTAGGTCCCAAAAGCGATAACAACATTCCGATGGAAATTGTTAATGATTCTGGAGAGATTGTGACAAGTGAGCATGAAGATTTGGGAAAATGGCGCGAAGACTTTGAGAAACTTTACAACGGAACCAGCAGTGACGAATTTGAAGAGGCACATTACACCCAATCTAGAACTCATAAGCAATTACTGGAAGCCAATATGGAAGATCCGTTATTTGATTCAAACGGGGAACTGAACAGCAATATTACATAGGAAGAAATTTTGGAAATTGTGCGTGCGAAATCAAAATCTGCAAGTGGTTATGATGAAATCCCTCACAATGTACTGAAGTTCCCGCTTGTTATTAGGACACTACAGAACCTTTTTCAGCTAATATTTGATACAAGTACTATACCGCCTGTTTGGCGAAAGGCTGTTATATGTCCTATTATCAAAGATCACTCATCTGATGCCCGACTACCTATGAACTACAGAGGGAATAGTTTTCTATCATGTATCAGTAAACTTTATAGTGTTTTTATTAACAAACGCTTAGTCAGTTTTCTTGAAAACCAAGAAGTTCTTGTAGATGAGCAAAACGGTTTCCGAAGACATAAATCATGTGAGGATCATATTTTCACTCAAAACAGTGTAATTAGAAATACAGAATCACTTTTTGTAGCGTTTATTGACCTGAACAAGTGTTTTGACGTTGTAGACAGAAACATGATGTTGTACAAACTCTTGTTACACGGCGTGGATGGTAAAATTTACCATTAAATCCGGAGTATATACCAGTCCTCAGAAGCTTGTATCCGATTGAACGGAAAACTTACACTTGGTTCTACTGTAAAACAGGCGTAAAGCAGGGAGATAATCTATCACCAACACTTTTCTCCATATTTATAAACGATCTCGTGAAGGAAATCAATGCTCTTGGCCTTGGGACAGACCTCCTTGATAGGAAACTATCTGTACTACTTTATGCGGATGATATCGCCCTAATGGTCAAAAGTCCAGAAGATCTACATGTATGTTGGACAAGCTTCATCAGCGGTGCAAGAGATGGAGAGTATTGTTCAACACGGATAAATCAAAGTGTGTTCATTTCAGGAAAGTGAGAAGGAAACAGACAAAGTTTGAGTTTGTTATCGGCAAAAAAAGATTGGAGAAAGTTGACCAATACAAATATTTAGGTGTAACGTTCACCTTCAGTGGAAACTTCACAGAGAATGCAGAGATTCTTTCAAAAGCTGGGGGAAGAGCGCTTGGAAAGATAATCTCCAAAATACATACCAATAAGGACTTTGGAATTAAAGCAAATGAGAAGTTGTATTACTCCTGTGTAGTCCCCTTTCTGGATTATGCATCGGGAGTATGGGGATACAGCAAATACCAGGCCGTTGAAAATATCCAAAACCAAGCAATCCGATATTTTTTGGGAGTGCATCGTTTTGCACCTAGACTCGCCCTATACGGAGATATTGGTTGGATTCCTAGCTATTATCAACGGTGGATGAACATGATCCGTTATTGGAATAGAATACTTACGATGGATACTGACCGTATCACGAGGCTCGCATTCGATATGGATTACAGGTTTTGTTCTAACAACTGGTGCAGTGAAATCAAGGATATATTCCAAAAACTCGAATTAGAACATGTCTTTAACTCACAGGTACCTGTGGATATGAAAACGGCTGAACTGTGTATATTACGTTATTACTCATCTCTATGGGAAGACGCTGTCCAAAATGTTCCAAAACTCCGTACATACGTAACCATAAAATCCACCTTCGAACAGGAGGAATACGTGAAACTAAATCTAAGCAAAACGGAACGCTCACACCTCGCCCAGTTAAGGTGTGGTATTTTACCTTTGCGAGTAGAGACAAGACGCTACATTGGGGAACGACCAAAAGAGAGAGTATGTCAATTCTGCGATGCCGGCCACCCATACGAAAATGTGTAGTTGACCGTCAACTAGTCGTCAACTAGCCGTCAACTAGTCGTCAACTGATAATGCGAAAACAGTTGACCACTCGGAGTTGAATGCTTTTCTGAAAAGCGATCAACTGATTTGCATAAAACGGCCAGTTGACCATTAGTTGAATGCTAATACTTTGAAATTTCATGCAAAACAAGAGTTGACCACTAGTTGAACACTCCGACTTGTTAGAAAATTTCTCCCACGCTACATTTATGTTGGGCTCAAAATTACATTATCATAGATCGGGTTTGTTATACCATAATTACAACAACCAAGATTTGAATCAGTATACATGTGATTTTCTGTGGAAGTTGGGAATTTTGATTTGAAACATTATGTGTTCGTGATGATTCAGCGTGTAAAATATATCTCATGTGCTATTGTAAGTATATAAAATGTAAAGAATCATTTTACTAAGCGTGTTATTTTTAAACAGATAATAAGAATACAAAACACTGTAGCCAGTATAGGTCCCTATTTTGTACTCTTTTAAATAATCAAAGAATTCTGAAAACTTGTCAGGCATCAAGTGTTTTGTTGTGTTTCTTGTTGTGTTGGTAAAAATATACCATTGCTTTAGACTAACTCTATATATAATTTTTTCTGCACAAAAAAATGAAGAAGGCAAGTAACAACTTATGAGAGTGTGTAAGCTCAATTCGTTTATAATGCATTTGAGATTTACAAGTACATTTATGTCAATTAAGAAACTCCATTCTTTTGACTTTTCATATTTTCAAGAACACTGCTTGTCTTAACTTAGATTTCAAATCTCCCTCCATTTTTTTTTTCAAATATTTAATGAATGAAACCTACTTGCACTGACTAATGAAGTATTTAACTAGTGGTCAACTGCAATGGAAATAGTGGAGCATTCAACTAGCGGTCAACTGCAAAGGAAATAAAGGAGTAATCAACCAGCGGTTAACTGTAAAGGAAATAGAGGAGTATTCAACTAGCAGCCATCTGCAAAGAAAATTGAGGAGTAATCAACTAGCGGTCAACTGTACAGAAAAGAGTGGAGTATTCAACTAGCGGTCAACTGCAAAGGAAATAGTGGAGTATTTAACTAGCGGTCAACTGCAGAGAAAATAGTGGAGTATTTAACTAGCCGTCAACTGCGATGAAAATAGTGGAGTATTCAACTAGCGGTCAACTGCAAAGGAAATACTGGAGAATTCAACTAGCAGTCAACTGTAAAAGAAATAGAGGATTATTCAACTAGCGGTCAACCGCAAAGAAGATAGTGGAGTATTTAACTAGCGGTCAACTGCGATGAAAATAGTGGAGTATTCAACTAGCGGTCAACTGCAAAGGATATAGTGGAGTATTCAACTAGCAGTCAACTGTAAAAGAAATAGAGGAGTATTCAACTAGCGGTCAACTGCAAAGAAAATAGAAGAACATTCAACAGTGGTCCACTCTATGCAAATGAGTTGACCGCTCCCTCATTTGCATGGCAAAAATTCAACTAATGGTCAATTGACTGTCAGTTGACCGTCAACTAGTAGTCAACTGAATACTCCAATTGAATTCTAATTGTATTTTTTTCATATGGGGGAGTTGCCGAAACGGAAACTCATTTTGTACTCGATTGTTCATTCTATACAGACATTCGACAAAGCTCCTTCGGTAATCTGTTAGAATCCGACAATTTTTATCGATAGATAGCAGTGAAAAAATGAAAACTTTGACAACTAATTATGTAAGGAAACTTGCCAAGTTTGTGGTAAAAGCCTATACAAAAAGGAGAAATAACATTTATAAATGTATTTCATGCTAAAAAAAACTGATAATGCTACGGATAATTATTTTAATATTTCATTTCTATGTGCCTAAGTGAATTAGTCAATGAATTATATAGTGTACATAAACTATCAGTATGTGGACAATCATTTTAATAATCCAGTTCTATGATCACAAGTAAATTATTCAAGAACTATACAGTATACATACACCATTAGTCTGTGAGGAAATGTATGATTTCAATGCAGGTGACTTATAGGCCCAAAGGGCCGGGTGTAAAAAAAATTCAGTCTTTATATTTGAGATTTATTATATTATATTGTATTACACAAGTCACTATAATAAATAGATAAATTATTATTATTATTATTATTATTATTATTATTATTATTATTATTATGTACTCTTATTCGAAAATAATAAAACTCGTCTACATGTATAATGAACTGCTTGTTGCTCAATTATTTTCAAGCCCTGTGGTTTAAACTACTTAGAAATAACATGACGAATAAAAGAAATCAAAAGTTATTATCATTGACGTTTCGTAATAAACGTGTCATACTGCATTTATTTTGTAGGAAAATGTTTCTGAAAAGGTTTCTCCTCTTATTTCCCCAAAAGCATTTTAAATCTTTCTTGTCCATGCTTATTATCCCAATGACCACACATTTAACAGAATTTAAGAGGTTTAATTCGTCGAAGATTTTTCTTTTTTTCAAATTACTTTTCTTTCCTTTTAATCCCTTCCAATACTTCCATTTTACGTTACTGATATTCTTGTTAAAATGAAAATAATTATAGATGAAGAACCAAAACAGGTTACTAAATATATTAATTCTAACGTATGCTTTGCTCATGGTGATTGTGATATAAGAACGTAACCAGTCACGGAAAATATCGTGGTTTGGTTAAAATACTTATATCATTTTATCAACTTACATTTATATAACTAAAAAAAATTTCAAGTAATTAATAGATAGGTTAAGCATTTGACCGTGTACGTCTATACGTGTACGTGTAAACCTAGAAGTGATTTTACACGTACACGTAACTATGTCGTGTTCTGTTTAACAAATTGAACGTGTACCGGTACGTGTAAAACTTCATTTCAGCAAGGCACTTTACAATCCATTTGTATCAAATAAATCTATGACTTAAAATAAAAAAATGTGTTAAAAAAATAAAACAATTTAAAAAATAAAAAAAAAAAGGTTGTGAAGAAAGTTAAAATAAAAAAGATACATTGGATGTGTGTAATAAATTCTCAACTTCATACCAAATACCGGCTGAAAAATATTTATTGCGTAGTTTGAGTTTAAGAAGCTACAAGTTTTCAGCTACGTGTACTTGCGAATCTACACGTTGTGTACAACTTGTAGATTTACGCGGTAAGCAAATCTGATGACGTAAATCGCATTAAATTAGGAGATTTCCCTAGCTACACGTACACGTAGATGTACACGGTCATATGCTTAACCTCTCTATTTTAAAAAAAAATGGCTGGGATTATATATAATTAAATATAATGGAATTCAGATAGAATGAAAAGTCTCAGTCAGAATTCATTACACCAACTATACTGACCTCAAACGGTGTGATGCTTTTGCATTAACATCTTTACTTTGCATTCCACGTCTGGGGTAATTTGAACGAACTTTGAAATACTTTACGGAATATAAGTCATGTTTATATTGTAAAATCAATTTATACCTTATTTAAATAGACGGGAAATTCAAGGAAAAATACAAACCATTCAATGTTAAAATCCAAATACACAACAAAATTTGTAATAATTTCCTTGTCATTTTCATTTTATGTACGTATTAATGTCAGTATACGAATATTTTTTGTACTTGTCTTTCAATTATCAATTAACCTAGTGTTTTTCACGGCAAACATAAGGAAGATTTGTTAAAAATACACCCTTCTATTTATTTCCTTCCTGCTGCCCTGATAAACATATCCGATTCATTTAATGTTGTGTTATGTAAATACAGACAATATATTCATCTTTAGGTATTTAAGGTTAGAAAATCCATGTCAATAATATATTCCCTTGCAAATTATTCTGCCTGTATATTGCAGATAGTTAACAATTGGTGCATCGATTTTTGTGATAACGGTAAAGACCTGAAACAAAAACAAATACAATGAATTACTTATTAGTTACATGTACATGACACATGATATCATTATGTAACTATAAATATAGCATATACTGTGTAATTAGTTATAAATAAAAAATATCCAAAAGATAAATAGAAATAAGTTTCACTATTAATTCCAAAATAAAAAGTTTTGACACAAATGGGTTTCCATAGAAAAATTTTATGAACGTACTCCAGTTTCATGTTTAAAGATTATGACAACAACAGTGTTCCATACTTTCAAGAGATAACAATAGATATCCCTTATAAATAAATTACAAACATTTCATACAAATACACTGTAATTATAATAAAAATATACGTGTAAATAATATAAGGTGCACAGGTTTACTTACAGTGTGTGGCAGCTTAAGTCAAAAATGAGGAAAATCTAGCATGGGTCTCCATGTGTGGGTCACAAAAGAAATAAACACAGGAAGTGAAGAATTTAGGGAAAGTAACTACAGATTTACAAATAAAAAGATAACTCTTGAAATATAAGACAGATAACTCTTTGATTAAGAAAGATAACTCTAGCTCTGAAATAGATACAAATAATTAAAGAAAATATACAAACATATTATTTAAATGTTCATAAACATTACACAAATAGTACTATCGTTAAATACATTTTACTCGAGAAAATCAGAAAGACATATAGTTTTATTTTAAACCTCCTAGAAATACCGTTCTTAAATAAAAGATGGTTTGTAATTTTAGTGGATATAATATGTTTTATGCAGTCATTTGCATCTCTGCGATTTTGTGGTTAGAATTTAGCTTTTTACATTGTATAATGTGTTACAAATATAACCTAAGCTTCGTAAACTATTCGCATGTTTTTTAATGAATTGACTCATGTTTTATACATCTTGCGGTGTTTATCTTATATGGCGGTAGTTATAGTACGATCATTGATAATCAGTTTCAGTGTTAAGATTCTAATCTGCAAGTGTCTGTGCACGATGTAATTTGTAAAGAAAAACATACCTACTATCATCCCGTTCAACCGTCACATTGGTTATAAATTTACATGATGATATATATGTTTCCTCATGCAGCACTACTAAGTATCTCACCGCAGCTCTGTTTTTGCTGATATGTAATCAAATAAAATCAACTCTGTTGTTGAGATGAAATATGTCATTTATTAAATGACGAAATAAGAAAAAAATATATACATCACATGATAAAGGATCAGATCAAAACGATATTATTATTTTGTTTGTTGGCCTATTGTTTGTTACTACCCTATTTTACAACATACGTGTTTGAAACAATTAGGATCTTGGTGGTATTTTTTTTAGTTGCCACCTTAATTTTCACCATAGGTGTTTGGTGACATTTTATATTTGATTGTTTTCATA